TTTAATAATTAAGTTAAAAAAATTAAAAAATATATTAAATCAAACATATACTAATTATTTTTCAAAAAAAAAATTTCCCTATTGTGTCTTCTACTTTCCTAAAATTCATGTTTGACTAAGTCAGTAATATGATAAGTCGCGCCAATGTGAAAGGGATGGAAATTTTGGTAATTGTGTCATTTGTCCACATAAAAAAAAAAAAAATCAAAAACTACTATTAATCTTTCGTGCAGTAGTGAGTTGTTCATTGATGCGTGAGGCAATGTGACTATGAAATATATATATTTTTTTCCTAACTAATGGTCCAAGCTTAGAATTTTTATTACGAGCATTGAATAACCTCTACTGGTTCCACTTTTATATTCATTCCCATCTCTGACTTCTCCATCACCTACGGCATCTCTCATGCACATTTCAATTCAATAGATTAAGAAAATTAATTAAAATAATAAAAAAAATATTTTTTTAATTTTATATAAAAAAATATTATACCATTCAAACCATACTATACTATGCAACATAATTGTTAAATTGAAAGCTAACTCTTTAATATTAATAATTATCTTTTTATTTAATAATTTTATTCTATAATTTAATATTATCTAAACAATGAAACAAAAAACTCTAATAAAAATATCAATTCAAAAATAACTTTTGAATATGAATATAGAGCCCTTAAATGTAATGTGAGGCGATTATGATTTTTCAATCAGAACCTTCTTTCCCCTCGGTCAGACGGAATAGCTACAGTATAACCTCTAATTTTGAATTCAATGTTTTGAATATAGACTAATATGTTAAAAAATATAATAAATATATTTTTTTAATAATTAATTATATAAAAATATATTAATAAATTTTACTTTTTAATAAAAATTTTGACTTTAATTTAGTTAATTTATCAATCAAATTTTTTTTTATATTAATAATATTAAAATTAAAATTAATTTTTATATAAATTATTTATAAAAAAATAATACATTTATTACAATGTTAACCACTTGTTGGAGAATTGAATAGAGAAGCTTCGTTGT